TAAACTAATACTTTATTGAAGCACCTTTTGATTTTATTACAGCACTCAGTCTTTTTGGGTATGAGTCTATCAGCATGGCACATCTTGACTTGGCAATATTTCCCCACTCTTTCTTGCAAAAACACTTCAGATTTGTCAGATTGCAAGAGCATCTCCTGTGCACAGCCGTCTTCAGATCACCCCACAGATTTTCAATCGCATCGGATTCAGGTCTGGGCTTTGGCTGGGCCATTCCAAAACTTTAATCTTCTTCTGGTGAAGCCACTCCTTTTTGAATTGGATGTATGCTTTGGGTTGTTGTCATGCTGAATGATGAAGTTCCTCTTCATGTTCAGCTTTCTAGCAGAAGCCTGAAGGTTTTTTGCCAATATTGACTGGTATTTGGAATTGTTCATAATTCCTTCTACCTTGACTAAGGCCCCAGTTCTAGCTGAAGAAAAACAGCCCAAAAGCATGATGCTGCCACCACCATGCTTCACTGTGGGTATGGTGTTCTTTTGGTGATGTGTAGTGTTGTTTTTGCGCCAAACGTATCTTTCGGAATTATGGCCAAAAAGTTCAACCTTGGTTTCATCAGACCAGAACACATTTTCCCACATGCTTTTTGGAGACTTCAGATGTGTTTCTGCAAAATTTAGCCAGGCTTGGATGGTTTTCTTCGTAAGAAAATTCTTCCGTCTTGCCACTCTACTCCATAGTCCAGAAATATGAAGAATATGGGAGATTGTTGTCACATGTACCACACAGCCAGTTTTTGCCAGATATTCCTGCAGCTCCTTTTTAATGGTTGCTGTAGGCCTCTTGGCAGCCTTCCAGACCAGTTTTCTTTTCATCAGTTTCGGAGGGACGTTCAGTTCTTGGTAATGTCACTATTGCGCCACGTTTTCTCCACTTGATGACTGTCTTCACTGTGTTTCATGGTATATCTAATGTCTTTTGTACCCTTCTCCTGATTGATACCTTTTAACAATGAGATCCCTCTGATGCTTTGCAAGCTCTCTGCGGACCATGGCTTTTGCTGTAGGATGCGACTAAGAAAATGTCAGAGGCACTTTAAATGATGGCAGGTGTGTAGTGACTCCTATTTAACATGATTTGGAATGTGATTTGCGTAATTCTCAACACGGCTACATCCCCAGTTATAAGAGGGTGTGCACACTTATGCAACAACATTATTTTAGTTTGTTTACCCCCCCCCTAAAAGATATCAGTTCAGTTTTTCAATAGAGTTGTACAGTTTATAGGACACATTAAAGGTGGAAAAAGTTTTTTTAAATGATTTATCTTAGTCTTATTATTATTATTTTATTTTTTTTTTTTACATCACAAAAAACATTTTAACAGGGGTGTGGTAACTTTTTATATCCACTGTATATTAAGCCAGTGGGAGATTTGAACCCAATGTTTCCCATGTAAGAATGAAATTTTAGGTCTGGGTTGAGTTTGAACTTTACTGACTGTTTTGCTTGTACGGGTACTTCAGGAATGTTTCTTTTAATTCTTTAACGACAAACATTTATTTCATGCAAGCCACCAAACATTAATACAGAAGCTAGAAGAAGGTAGTAAATGCATTTTAAGTCTGTTTATCATTAAAGTAAACCTGTGGCCAGGCTGTTGGTGTTCAAGTTTTTGTCCAGCTCATCTAAACCTGATCCCTCTCCAAGTGGTGATTTGGCATCCTTTTAGCCTCCAATGTCAATGCAAAGCAGACGTGGCATTAGAAACTAAGCTGTTGAGACACCAATACCCAACTTCAGTGTCTTTGCTGTGAGGATGAATTGCTGCACAATGCCTGCAACTATTGAGGTCTTGTTTAAATCTCATTTATGGCTTGTTAACCCCTTCCCATCTGCCATTTTAGGTATAAACATTGGGAATACTTTCATATATGTTTAAAGCTTTCGGCTGCAGCACTCTGGGTGTTACTGATCAATTCCTGGGTTTGCCTTCCCCTCTGCTGCCACCTCTATAGCTTAATACGACAGTGCAGTGAATAGATGAAAACAAAATTCTATAGAAGCCACGGGTTTATTTTCTTGTACTGCTGCAGCCTTGAAGATTTACTGTGAACATTTAAACAGCCATACAGCTACATACATAAACTTTAATTACATAATGCATACACCAGTGGTATAAAATTTTTTTCTTTAGTTCATTGAAGGACCAGCCTCAATTACTCACTTTGGATGTGAAGCTGTTTGACCAGAGCGCAGGTGCAACGCAGTGTACCTGTAAGTTTGGTGCAGGTTAACTGGTTTTGTTATTGATACACTTGACACTTCTCATTGAAATGTAGAGAATGCAATAAGGTAAAATAAAAAAATTTAAACACCTGCCTTTAGAACCACTTTAAATGGCTTTCATTTGCCAACTGTTTTATGTCTAGAGATAATCAAAACTTCTGTGACCAGACCAAATTTTGAAGTTTTGGTATGTTTTAAAATGGGCCCAGAGGAGCCTAAAGTTTAAGAAAACTTGAGGATGTGAAACGGGACTGTATGCAGGAAAGGCAAAATAAATTACTCGAGGAGGCAGCATCAGACACCCCACAGTTACACAAGCTGGGAAAGAGGCCCTGTGCCCTTCAGTTGCCTAGTAACTGGCCTCAGGGCTGCTGTTAGAAATCACAGGGTCCCATACAGCCTGACAGACCCCCCCCCCCCCCCCAAAAAAAAAAATAAAATAAAGAAAAACACATTAAAAAATGCACTAAAATCATTATTAATGGACACAAGCATAACATAACTTACAAAATTCTTGCTAAATCTAAAATAATTATATTGTGTAAATAAGGTTTTGTGTAAATTAGGTCTTGGGTGCTTTTATGCGCCTGGAACTGTGAGCAGGAAGATTGTTACACTATGAGGACGCAGCAGCTGTACCAGCACAGCTGCAGGTCCTAATTTGACAAGCGTGTGGATGCAAGTGTATGGCCTCCAAACACTGACAGTGTGTATTTGGGGGCCACTCTCCCACACTTGCACATTTTATCACATTAGGACCTGCAGCTGTGTTCATACATCCACTGCATCCTCATAGCGTAACAGACTGCTTCAGCCACACAAATCAACCACTCATGGGCCAGAGAACCCATGTAAATGAGCCCTTATATTTAACTTTTTACAATGTTTTAAAAATAATTTACAACTTTTTAAAAACATTTTTTCTACAATTTTAAAAATCTAAATTTTTAGAAAATGCTTTTTTTTGTACGATTGGGTGAAATATCCTGGGTCTAAACAGACCCCTGACATCTCACCTTTTTGAGACAAAGGAGTTGAGGACACATATTCTTCAATTCCTTTTTTTTTTTTTTTTTTTTTTTTTTTAATTGCAGCCTCAGCTGCACTGAAGATGAATTAACAGGAGACCGAGGCTCCTGTTCATTTTTAAACTGAGGCATAGTAGACACAGTATGAATGGATACAGGAGCGATCAGCACCGATCACTTACTGTGTCCATTAACTAAAGGAAGGGGCCAATAAATCACATTTGCCAGCCCCTTCCCCCAAGCTCCATCCTAAACATCCTTCTGTATATCCGCAGCAGCTAGTGGGAGAGGGAAGCCTGCAGCACTACATGGGACACAAGGGGCACAGCAGGGTGAATCTGATATGGGCAGGACAGGGAAGGGGATTGAAGCTGCGGGGGCAGCAGTTAAAGGAACAAGACCTGTGTGTCTCTCCCTGCAGCAGCTGAAAGTTGGTGGGAGGGAGAGGGCGAGAGGCCAGCATTCAGCTGCTGTAGCGTCAGCTGACACCCCCCCCCCCCACACACACACCTCCCCCCAAATCTCCTCCCTGTCCTACCCGCATCTGATTCCCCATGCTGACTGGACCCCCTACAGGAGGACCAGTGGTAAACCCTTTAATGGTGCCTCTAACTGGCCTACTCGTGTGACTACAACAGATAGGAAAGTCACAACAGATGAGATTTGACTCCAACAGGGAAAACTTGCTGCACAGAGCAGGACAGTATGTTTGTTTTTTTTACTATTTTAATAAAAAGATATACAGTGTAAACCTTTTACAATCAGTTTATTGGCCAAATGTGGCTCCATTCCAGTTTACCAGTTCCCCAAGACCGTAAAGGGCAGTCAGGTGTGATATTACCATTGGTCCTTGGGCTAGACTCTTGGTAAGATATGCAACTAATGCACCTACTTGCAGGGATTTTTTTTTTTTTTGTGTTTTCAGGTTTAATGCAGAAAATGTGGTCTTAGACCTGCTTCACACCTAAGTGTGGCAATCTGCTGTGGGTAAAAAAGTCCCTGACCCTTACTAAAAACGCAGTGGCTGAAAATGCATAGATGTGAACATGTTCCAAAGGAAGACATGTTAAATGGACTGTAGTGTTTTTGCAAAAAAGCACTAAAAATGCATGGGTGTGAACCTGGCCTTAAAGTGTTACTAAACCCACAGCAGTAAAATCAGTCTGTATATGCAGTAAATCATGCTTGATATACTCACTATGGAACCTAAGAGGTTAATCCTCTGCATTGTGTAAAAATGCTGTTTGATCCTGACTTCTCTGATCCTTTCAATGTTCCCCTATCTCCTGATAATACATCATGTGGAGACACTCTGCACATGCTCAGTTTGGTGTGTAGGTGTGTATTGGTAGAGGTTTTTTTTTTGTTTTTTTTTTTGTTTTTTTTTTTAAGTGCATGTGATCATCACAGGGCCAATCAGCACTGTCCAGACAGGTCAGGGGTTCTGCATCCTCCTAGAGCAGAAAAACAACTCCTACAAGTTGTAACCAGTGCTCGGCTGGACACTGATAGAAGTCACAAGACTGCTCTAACTGCTGATGATAAAAGGTATTTAGCAGTGTATATTTACTAAAATAATTGCATTGCAGAGTCCTGGGTTTAGTAACACTTGAATGAATAACTAACTGGGATTCTTGTTTAAAGTGAAAATTGGTTGCTCTAAGCAGAAGTTCAAACTTTGTCATAACGTGCAATATTTACTTTACTACTTCCCCTCTCCTCACAGATGACCATAGCCGTGTCAAGCTGCAAAATGTGGATAATGATTATATCAATGCCAGTCTTGTGGTTGTTGAAGAAGCGCAGAGAAATTACATTCTAACACAAGTAAGTGCCTGTGGCTTGTTGGCCTACATTTTTTTATTTTATTTTTTTTTTTTTTTTTTTACTTTAGGATGCCAGAATTATGTGAAATCCCTTTTTTTTTTTTTTTTTTTTTTTTTTTTTTTTTTTTTTTTTTTTTTTGCAGGGGGGAGGGTAGGGAACGATTATGACTGATCAGGATGTCATAACGTACTGTGTCTTTTGTTGCATTAAAATAAAATGTCTTTTTCAAATAATCCCTCTACCACACTCCCATCTACCCTCATTCATGAGATAATACAAAATCGTGTATGTCCAAATATAAGTCCATACAAAGTACTCTTCCAAGTGTTGAAAACTGATCCACTTCGTTGTTTTTCAATCCAGGATACCTCAAAAAAATATATAAACTAGATATAGTGCATTATCTTTAAACAAAGAAAACACTCGTGACACTTAAAGTGACTTCTCCTAAGCCCCCACTCATGACAAACCAACACTTCAACTTGTGATTTGTGCAAAATCCAAAACCAGTGTCACCATTCAGATGTAGTAAATACCATTACCCTCTCAAGGATAATGCAAACTCCACATCAAACTACTCGTGATCACATGCATCAAAGGTAGGTAGTGCCATGACTCTTGTAGGATAATATACCATTACCCTCTTTCAATACAGATAGGCATAAGACTCCTCCAGGGTACTCCAAAATATCCCCTTTTCCTGATGCTCCCAATCCGAACTCCCCCGCTCCTCAGAGGGGCAGAAAATACAATACTCAGCGAAGTATATAAAAGGAATCCATACATTTATTAAAATCTTACATTTAGATAACACCAACGTCCATCCTCTCCCACAGTTTGTATGACTGAACTCCAATGTTCAAGATGGCCACGCCGCTCCTTCCGGTTTGACGTTCTAAGGTTCCGTCCTTACGTTACTGACGCGTTTCGTCACTTCCAACTTTTTCACAAGGGTCATATTATATGTTATATTTGGACATTTATATATACACGATTTTGTATTATCTCATGAATGAGGGTAGATGATGGGAGTGTGGTAGAGGGATTATTTGAAAGACATTTTATTTTATTCACACTTTCTAGGGTGAGAGTGGTACTTTTTGTAGGGATTAATAGAGTTTATATTTACATTTGTCTTTTGTTGCATTGTCTGTATTATCCTTAGCCCTTTTTTTGCTGTACCTACTGTCAAGCTTATTGATTTGATGTAGTCCTCTATTTGTGGTAACTCAAATTTTCATGTCATCAAATGACTGATTTTTGCCCAGTTAGGGTTCCTTAAAAGCCCCTTATTCCAACCAGCTAAAGAAAATGCTGTTCTTAGATTTTCATTGCAATTTTAACAGCAAGAAACACATTGCTGCATGGGTTTATGGAATTTATCAAGACATGTAAAAAAAAATTCAAATGTCTAATTTTGTGAAAAGGAGGCTTAAAGCATAAATTTTACCTTCGGCAAGAATTGAAAAAAAAATAATCCACCTAAGGGGCCCTCTAGCTGCTGTTCCTGGCCGTTCAAACTGCTTCTGCTCCATCTGAGCTTTGGTAGTGCCTGCTTCGGGGCCTGAAAACTGGACAGGCACTCTGGAACACTGTGCAGAGCTGGAGCTCCACTTTAAGATATGCCTAAGGCTGACTCTGACTAAGCATTCGGTTATTTGACTAATGCTGAATGCTTGCTCCTAAACTTTTTTGTTGACTTATCTGAAAGTGTTTTAAGAACATCTGTGGATAAATATATATTTGTTTTTCAGGAACACATGAGAACCAATCTATAATATTCCATAATATCAATAAGCCTCACAGTCAAGGTTTCTTTTTCCCACTGGGAGGGATTCTGCTTCCAGTGGCGATTTCTCTTCTCACCTTCCTCTCTATTGTCCAAGCCTACCCTCCTGGCTGCTTCAGTGCTGTTGTCGCCACTGTCCTGCAGCTCTGCATCCTTCCAAAACACAGTTCTCAGGGACACCACCTCTTCAAGCCTGAGCATATCCTCCAAATACACCATCTCTCCCTAAAACCTTGAAATCCTTGTGTCCCCATATTGTCTCTGAAGGCATATAAAATTGAATTCTGCTCTCCTTGCACCACAACCTCACACATAACCCCTGCCTAGATTTTAGTAAGCCTACCCAGTTCACCTCAGGAATCCTGCCAGCTCTTATCATACATCTACTGCAGATCTCCCAATCTGAGACGCACACCATGTTGATGCCAGTCGCCGGCTACTTGTGGTCTCCCAACAATACGTTGCGGATAGCAGGGTGCCATGGACAGGCTTTAGCACCAAGTGTGCCTTGTCTTTTGAGACATGCATGTGCAGACGTTTAGTTGGCTGTGGGGAGTTGTGTTGAGCGGTTGAAGTGGTGGGGATCAGGGGAAAGATGGCTGCAGGTAGCAGAGGTATGATGAGAGCTGACTTGGATTTGTGGATTCCTTAGCTGAGCTGGCCATGACTATTAGTATGGTACCTTGGGCATTAGATCTGCCTTCAGGGACATTTTGAGGGGGTGTTCCCTGTAAAAAAAAAAAAAAAAAAAAAAAGCCCTCTCCTCTTCCTTACCACTGCCAAGAAAAAAAATAAAATATCCCCCCCTGGACTCCATATGGCGCACCCACTGATCTGTGGCACCTGCTGTGACAGATGCCCTCCTGGCTGGCTTGCAGCACCCACTGACAGAAATCCTACCCCCACTACACGTCTCAACTGTGCATGGTAGCAGATTTTAACTTCAGCATGTTCATTTAAACTTTGGCAAAAAAAATGGAAGCTGATTGGTTTCTATGCAGAGCTGCACTAGACTTTGCACTCTCCAGTTTTACTAAATCTCCACACTTGTGTTTGCAAGAGGTCGCCTGATCCAGTACAAATTGCTACATTGCATCTATTAAACGCCCTCCAAGCAGTAACAAGCAACAAGCGTTTACCAATCCCTTCCTGCTGAATGCTGGTGATGTACTTCTCCCCAGCAGATTTCTCTCTCAAAACTAAGGTTACAGCTCTGCCAGTTCCGTTGACCATCCCAGTATGTTTGCTGGTGTAGCACCACCACTGAAGGAGCTGCTTAGTAACTTTCTGTTCTGTGCCAAGAACATCCTCAGCCTCTCAGACACACATGGTTGACTAAAAATCACTGCAAGCATAGATAAATACCCAAGTGTTAACTACCTTTAATCTGGCTGTGGGTTACTACCAGCAAATTACACACCCGTTTAGTGGTAAATGCTTTTAATCTATTGACACAATATAGAATAAATGGCAAGCTGAACATACTGTAAATGAGCACACAGCTGATGGATTAAACTAGTCTGCTCTGCAAAGTTAATAACTATGGTAAATTGGCAAAAGTTAGATTTTATACCCCTAACTAGGATCAGAAGGGGTAAGTTAGTAAGCATTAATATTAAATGCAATATAAATTACACTACACTATGTTAGAGTGCATGGTGGGATGCAGCATCTCATAATCTCTTTAACAACAAAGACCTCAGGGCAGCAACTGTTAGGGGCAGTCTTTAGTCCTCAGTCTTCAGCCAAGTAAACATTGGGACCCATTGGCAGTCTATAAAGCTTGCAGGTAGTATCAGGTCTATAAAGCTTGCAGGTAGTATCAGGTCTATGGAGTAACTGGAAGGTAGTTCCTAATGGCTTCGCCACTATTGATGGTAACAAGTAGCAGCCACAAGGCCCTTTTATCAAATACAGTAGCAGTGATTTCTCCCATTGGGTATCCGCTAACTCTGGATTGCCCATGACGACTCTGGTAGGTAGATTTGTCCCTCAGTCCCACATGACAGTGGGCTCTGCTGACCAAACTCTTTCTCTTAGGTGCAGTTTTTCTTGACATGATCCTGTTGCACTCCTGTCACACCACTCTCCTGTCACACTTTGAGGAAATCCTTTTTCGGAAACATCTTGTTCTCTCCTCCGTACTGCTGAGCTGACCATTGCTGTTGCTAGGAGAGAGAGGGAAGAGAATCCGCACACAGTACCTCTCCCTTGCACAGTACACGCAGCTGTTGACACAGTAAGCTGGCAGAGAGGGCAGGCAGATGAGCAGTTGGGGGGGGGGGGGGGGGTAGGTTTGGATTAAAGGATCGACTGTCCTGCTATACTGGGTTTGGTGGAGGAGCTTGCTGCCATGGTGGCCCATAGAACCTTATTGAGCATACTGCTACTTTAAGCCCACAAAGCAATCCTATTACATTACGAACACCCATAGCTCCCATGTTACAATTTTGGAAAGGAATGGTGAATGCCACACTACCATTCTATGAAGCCATGTATCTGAATTGTGGCTGTCTTGAAAAGAAAAAAGTGAAAATATCTGGGGTAGCTGGATATCTACATCTGAGACAAATGGATATTCCCACCTTTTTGTGCCTTTTTGATTTGACTATAGAGCCAGGATGAACAGTGTTTTGCCAGGGATCAATGTCTAGTCTCTGTTCCTCTGATAAAGAAACAAGCTGTAACCTGAATGCTGACCATTTTAGCTTTCTATTACCTAAATGGTGGATATATTTTCTTGGAACTAAGAGCAACATTTTGGTATTCTGGCTACGTTTCTCATTGTATTTTACACTGGTACACACTACAGTAATGATGGGTGGGAATTAAAATCTTAGATCTGTTATGTGTAGTTATTGGTTGCCGAGTGTTTGTTTAGTCTGTAAAAGGTAGGATCACAAATGCACTTTATTTCTTCAGTTTGTTTCCATCAGGAACGTGTTTAAGAAAATGTGACAATTTTTTTTATGGTGATCAGTTAATAGCTCTTATGTTGTTTTTTCTTAGGGCCCTCTCCCCAACACTTGCTGTCATTTCTGGTTAATGGTGTGGCAGCAGAAAAGCAAAGCAATTGTAATGCTGAACCGAGTCATTGAGAAGGATGCGGTGAGTGTAGTAGTCAGTATTCTTTCTCGGAAATGGAGTCATGTTCTAGCAGTTACAATCAGTTTCACATCTCCATCTGCTGTTTCTCTTTATGGCATTTATTTCCTGGCCCTAGATTGTGTCACTATTCAAATGCATACTGTCCTGGGCTGCTAGCTAGTGCTTGCATGCAGTATATTCTGGAAATGGATCCCGAGAACCTAAATTGAATCAATTCATCCATATTAGCCAGCAACTTAAAGAGTTACAATGGATTTTACACACTTGAAAGCATAGTTGAATAATGTTTGCAGAACGGTCTGTATTTGAAGCAAAGGGAACAGAAAAAGGACTACCTGACTATTCAAGACAATATGTAGTTTTTTTTTTTTTTTTTTTTTTTTAAAGCTGGGCAATATACTATTTATTAAAGGGGGACATGTTTTTTGCCATTAGATTGTTGTTGAACCTGTCGGCTATATGCAGTGATACATTCTGTCTGTCAAACTGGACAGCCCCTATATTCTTAAATATAATGTGGGGGGGGGGGGTTATCAAAACTGGAGCAGCAGAGTTTTCATTTGAAATGAAAGAGAGAAGCCGATTCGATTGCCATGCGCAGCTGCTCCAGTTTTGATACCTTTTTTCAGTGTATTGTCTGACATCACATACAGTTGACCGTACTGCCTCAGAACAGGTGTCATTTTGTCCTCACATAATGCTGTAAACAAGCTGTGTAGGGATTGGTTAATGATGTTACAATGGCCACTATAGCATTATTAGTATTGCTTTGTTTAGTTTGGGGTGAATAACATTGATGCATTCCATTGAAGATGATGGAAAATGGGGGAGCTGCAGAGAAACCTGTTGGGAACAGAAGATGGAAGCAAGCTAGGGAATTAACTCTGATTCCTGCACCACATTAACAGAGCAGATAGACCTGTTTCAAGTTTATCTGCACAACCTATTCCAGTTTTTATTTCAGAGTGCAAAAGAAACTAGTGCAGGTCTGCACCTAAACAGCAAAGAGAGTACAGCCGGTTTCCCATAAAGAAAACTGCCAAAGATTCCTGCCAAGTGCAACCTTGTCGTAGGGGATTTTAGCTGTCAGTAGGCAGCTCACATCTCTCTGCCTGTGTGGGGATCACACTACTCACGCAGAGCCTGCAGGGTAAGACCTTCCTCCCCCCCTAGCTGTGAGCTGAGTGGGGTGGTGGCACCGGCCTGAGAGATCAAAGCATGCAGCTCCATCTCTGTTCTCTGTCCTGTGTGCTGTGTCTGTCACATTCACAGAACAGAAGACTGATCGCTCCTAGTAAACAATACAGATCTCTCCCCTGTCAGCTCCAGCACGCTGCTTTGTATTGCTCTGCATAGCAAAGCAATACAAAGCAGCGTGCTTACACAGTAAACCACACACAGTGCACCGTTAACTCTTTTGATCGCCCGAGATGTTAACCCCTTCCTCACCAGTGTCAGTACAGTGTCAGTGCTTTTTATTAGCACTGATAACTGTATTGGTGTCACTGGGGATGTCAATGACAGTTCCCCTCCCCCTGCCAGTGTCAGAATGCCTGCCGCGGTCCTGCTATAAGTAGCTGATCACTGCCACTAGTATAAAAAAAAATTCCAGTATATAGACCACCATTTTGTAGACGCTATAACGTTCACGTGAACCAGTTAATTTACATGTATTGGGATTTTTTTTCTTATTGGCAATGACGTAGTAGATTACATTTTGGCCTAAATTTATGACTAAATTTGATTTTTTTTTTTTTTTTTTTTTTTTTGTAGTAATTTTTTTACTGGACATAGCAAAAAACAAAAAAATATTTATTTTTTTCATAATTGTTGGTCTTTTTTTTGTTTATAGTGCAAAAAATAAAAACCGCAAAGGCAATCAAATGGAAAGAAAGCTCTATTTGTGGTTAAAAAAAAAAAAAACTTTAAATTTTATTCGGGTGCAGCGTTGCATGACCGCAATTGTCAGTTTAAAGTAATGCAGTTCCATATCGCAAAAAAAAAATGGCCTGGTCAAGAAGGGGGGTAAATCCTCTGGAGCGTAAGTGGTTAACACGTAATGACAACACAAACACGATGCACATTTTGCAGTGTGTTTCTGAAACACATGGCAAGGTGCGCTTGTTCTGTGCAGATTGTACAGAGATTATATTTCCGTAAGCATGACAATCTCCTTTTTTAGATTTACCAAAACCTATATTATAGGAGGACACCGCATCTATCCAATCACTCTGTATCCAATCAAGCAGGCTCTTGCATTACATAAGGGGTGTCCCGTGGATTACATGCAGCCCCAGGGAGTCTAGTATGCGACCTGAGCCCGTCTGTAAAGATGCTGAGGTAGCCAGACAAATGACGTGGGGAGAGATCTCGGGGATGCTGTGGGAAAAAAATAGTTGATGGGTAAAGGGTGTGTACTAATGAGGTCAGTGCAGGATATGTGTGCTAATATGATCAGTTGGTAATCTGCTTACGGGGTCCTACTGGCTCCTCTGTCTACCTTCCTGGAATTGAAAAAGCTTTTCATGAAATTTACCAAAGGCTAAGGTAAGGCCTTGCTCTCCAGATAAGAGAGCTTGAATACTTTTGCAACTGAGCTATGTACTTAGCCTTTAATACTAAATAAGCTGCTTGGGTGATTGGCAAAGTGTCTTCAACATTTCAGACAGGTTCAGTTGAATATGATTAATTACTACTAGCTATACCATGACCTAAAAATTAAATAAAAACCCTCATTCATTTGTTAGGCCTTTTTTTTCTTTTTTTTTTTTTTTTTTTTAAACATAATTTCTTTTGCAACATGACTGATGGAATTAAAACCATTTTTTCCCTTGTGGCATTTGTGGCCATATATTGTGTATCTTTTTAACACTGTTGGAGAACAGATTGTCGTGTGCCTTCCTTACCCTAGCATAAAGCCTTTTGTTGACCTATGTGTTCATACATTCATATAGGTAAAGTGTGCCCAGTATTGGCCTACTCCTGAGGACGAAGTACTTCCTTTTAGGGAAACAGGACTGTGTGTAAAGCTGTTATCTGAAGATATTAAAGCAAACTATACAGTCAGAGTGTTACAACTACAGAACATCAATGTAAGTTAAGTTATTTCATTCATAGAAAACTAAGATCATCTTATTATTTCATGAGTTGTATGTTATAGATCTGATCAAATAACAAGCATATCAATATTTAAAGCTCATAATCCTTCTTAATGTTTATTGGAGAAAGATAGTTGGAGTGGGGTCAGGTGTAATGACTCTGAATTGTGGCTGAAGTCATACTTGGCATTAGAATTGCTTAGACTTATGAAGGTCCCATGCTGCTCCTATCATTCTATACTGTATATAATATTGAGCTTATGGTAGTCTGTAGGATGTTCTTGCAGCACCCACTGATTGTGTCTTTTTCAGATTCTGGGCAGAATTAGTTTTTAATGAAGGAGAACATGTTTTTACCAAGGTCACATATGCTAAGACCTCAAGGAATTCTATAAACCTTCCTACCTGTACCTTTTACCTGCACAATATATGCATTGGCAATGTAATTTCATAGTGTCCATGCATTGGCTTGTAGGTCTGGCTTATTGTAGAGTAAATATTCACATTCTGTCAGCTGTTTTTGTTTGTTTTCAAACATGATGCATGGCACTGTAGTCTAAGTCTGATATTTCCTGTGAAGAATCCCTGGATCTCTCAGTCTGGTGCTGGTGAGAGCTAGCCCGACTGTATAATGGCGTTCTGTGCAACAGTCCTGTGGTTGGCAGTGACATCTCATCTGTGTTCCATTGGCACAGAACTCTGCTTCTCAGGGCAGACCAGTTATCTTATTTTGTTTATTTCAGGTACTTGTATAGCGCTGTCAATGTACTCAGCGCATTACATATATATTGTACATTCACATCAGTCCCTAACCCTCAAAGGGCATACAATCTAAGGTTCCAAACTTACATTCATACATACACATACTAGGGCCAATTTAGACAGAATCCAATTAACTTACCAGCATGTCTTTGGAGTGTGGGAGGAAACCCACGCAGGCACAGGGAGAACATGCAAACTCCAGGCAGGTGGTACCATGGATGGGATTCAAACCCATGACCCTAGTGTTTAGCCACTGTGCCCTGCTGAATGTTGGGATCAGAGCCATGGCAGTTCACCTGGCTCTGTCTCTCAAGACTCCATTTTATGCGCAGTTAAAATTTTCTTGCAGTTTTCTCCAGTCAGCCAAGAAGTGCAGGACTTCAGCTTACTTGTATACTGCATACAGGATTTTGGGAATACTCCAGAAGTTTCATAGTTGGACCCTGGTCATTTCGTGGTCTAAGTGAGGAGACCCCAGTATCTGCATCATATTCAGCAGTTGATTTCTTTTATTGGATCTTTGACCATTTCCATAGATGATGATCCTTCCTTATGTGATCTCTACTGGAAAGAAATTGGAAGAAATTTCTTGTTTCATTCTACCCTTCGGTATGCTCAGACCTTTTACCTCTGCTTGTTCCCAGACTTTAATTTTTGGTCTACATAGCTAAAAGCAGGTGCATATACCAAAAGTCAGACGGTTCCGCAGGATCCAGACATCTTTAGGTACACGTGTACCACCATCTGTTCAATTGAAGCCAGTTGCTTGCTGGAAAACCAGTGTTTGATCAGCACTCTGATCAATGTATTTTGGCAGCGGAAGGAAAAGTTCCTGTCGGAATACAGTAGCACAGCAGGAGAAATCCACTGCATCACACATTGCTCTCTTCCTTTTTTTTTTTTTTTTTTAACCCAGCTAAGCAAATAGAAGAACAGCACAGCTTGACACTCATCTGTTCTGCATCCAAATATTCCTTTAGTTCTCCCAGATTTGCACCCACCAGTTCCATCAGAGCTGAGGGGATGCCCGATAGTGTTTGAGGAGATGTAGGAAGAATGTGGGTGTGAGAAGTCGACTTTTATGTATCCTCCGGTGTCTCAACATTGGATGGACGACATTTAGCCATTCAAGGTATGTTAAACCAGGTGGTTCTCATTCTTGTTCCTCCACGAAAAGATTTCAAGTTTTTTCTTTTTATTTTCACACCTCTTTACACCCAATGGCATTTGTACATTCTATTTTGGACTTAAAATCACTCACTGCTTTTTTTATCCTTAAATACTTTAAAGAAATGTTTACTTTTTACTGCAATGGAGAGACAATAATGGACTGAACAGATTCAGAGACTCCTTGACCTCCAAAAAAAAATGTGTATTTACATGTTCCCATTTTTTCAGGTCACCAACAGTTCTTTTTTTTTTTACTGTGGGAGATATCAGGTTTAATTTGTGACCCTTGCCTTCATCCTCTCTTCAGCTCTGAGCCACTAAGATCCTCACTCCAGTTAAGATTCTTCTTCGAGATGTGGACCTTGAAGGACTTTGTATGGATCCTGAGCTTCAAGTAGTTACCTTGGTTTCCTTCACATGGTTTGGAGTATTTTGGGCGTTCTCCTGGATATAGTTCAGGTCCAGGGTCCTCCTTACCCAAGAGAAGTTTATGAAACCGCCATTAAGCAATATTATTTGCTCAGTTCCACTAAAGAGCTTTGCACAGAACATCCTTGCAGAGTGGGACAAGTCCTTTTCATTGGACAAGATTATCTGTTGCATCCTCGAAGATGTCTGTCATAATGGCTTTATTATGAAGGTCACAATCTGCCCAGCTGTCTCCTACTGTGACTGCTTTTAGGTGATCCTTGAAAGCTCATATCTTCAGGGAAGCCTATCCCACCGCCACCTAATAAACTAACTGACCTTTAACTTTCTCCATCCACTCATCCTTCAGGGTTACTACTTTTTGTATAACTTGACACTCTCTCCCCCTCCCTCTTGTATTGAATTGTAATGTAACTGTACTGTTTTCCTTTTATTTTGTAAAGCAACACACAAACTGCTGGCACCATATAAATTTTGCATTATAATAATTAAGTTTGTATGCAAATGTATTAACATTTTTTTTCCCTTTTGTTCTTCAGACAGCAGAGTCAAGAGAAATATTCCATTTTCATTATACCACGTGGCCAGATTTTGGTGTTCCAGAGTCCCCAGCCTCATTTCTAAACTTCCTGATTGAAGTCCGGAACTCTGGTTCCCTGGATCCTGAATATGGGCCCTCTGTTGTACACTGCAGTGCAGGGATTGGGCGTTCTGGGACCTTTTCTTTGGTTGATACCTGTCTTGTACTGGTAAGATCTGTGTATGTGTAATGTTCTACTTTTGAAAATCAATTTTTCATTGTTCTTCTCTGCCTGTTACCAGAACGGGTGTATCCATCGGAAAATTCCCCCTTTTACTGTTCTATTTAGTTGTCGCCAAAATAGTAATAAACAGGACAAATAGGGTAAATCTCCCTAATGGGGACATAGTAGAAATAAACCCTGTCAGGTTTTTATTGTCGTCTCTGTCCAAAACTATAAAAAAAAAATCATTTATTTATACTTTTAAGTCTTTTGACAAGTATAATAATCGTAACTTAACTAACCATTAATTTTGAGTTCCTTTTCAAATGAAGTTGTTAGCATTTAGCTTCTGTGGTTTTGTTCAATTTAAATACTGTAATTGATGCTGAATTTAGTCAGTAAAATGATTGTTTAGAAATCAAGAAGGAAAAATATTGCAACAAGGACAGAACAACAATGCAAGAAGGCTTGAACAAAAGGTTTTGGGTGTAAAAGTCTTAATAATAATAATAATAATAATAATAATAATAATAATAACAATATACACAATTGGCAGGCAGTGACTGTCTATAGCCTCCCTAGTCTGTTTGAAATACATGGGATCACTTTCAAAAATATTTAAAGCCAAATTTTTGTTTTTCATTTAAAACCGTAAAGATTATGGGTTATACCTTTTTTGATATAAAGGTATGGTCGGTTGTTATTTTCCATGAATGTGACCATGGTAAAATTTACTTTTTTTTTTTTTTTTTTTTTTTTTTCTCCTTTTTCCCTGTCAGATTGAAAAAAGGAAAGATCCTTCCACTGTGGACATTAAACAAGTGTTGTTGGATATGAGGAAATACCGAATGGGACTAATTCAGACACCTGGTCAGCTAAGATTTTCCTATATGGCTGTAATAGAGGGAACAAAAATGATAATGGGAAATTCAAGCCAACAGGTGTGTACATAGGTCTTTTTGCTTTCCTATATTACTAGGATTATTTGTCACCTCTTGTTTTGGAGTGGGCTGCTCTGTTAAAGCGGTAGTAAACCGTAGGGAAAAAAAAAAAAAGTACCCTGGCAAGGTAATGTCATAATATGCTAGTATGCATCATATACTAGCACATTATGTAAAGCTTACCTTAAAAAGAAACGTTGGAGAGGCGTGCTGTCACCACTGCAGAGGCTTCTATCTTCACCCGGTCTTTCTTGTGGGGTCGCGAGCTCCGGCTGTCTGACAGGCCAGGCTGCGATAACGTCACTCCATTGCATGCGTGCGGGAGTCCCGGGACCCAGCACAGTACTCTGAAGGAACGGCATGGGTATGCAGCTCCTTCAGAGAGCATGCGCGGCTCTAAAAAAGAGAGACTATCTCCTAAATGGTGCACGTTTAGGAACGATTCATTTTACCTACAGGTAACCCTTTTTTTATATGCTTACCTGTAGTTAAAAAAAAAAAAAAAAAAAGTTTACTACCACTTTAATAGAATTTCCTACCTGTCATACACTTGCAATATCCTTTTTCTAAATCGTAATTTTTGTCAAAATTTAAAAAATTAAATATATAGTCGGCGCGAAGTGATCAAAAGTAAAATGGCAAAAAGGGGTGATCTAAAAACACCTAAAACCTATCTTTAAGGTAGATTGCAGCGCCAGTGCTCTCTGGGCTGGTTCACGCCAGAATTGCACAGGAATGCATGATTGCTGTGTGATTTCACTGTGAAACTATTTTCAGCCCATTCATTTGAATAAGCTGAAATTTCACTGGATTATACCAAAAGTAGTGCATGCACTACTTTTCAAAAAACACACTGCACCACCGAAACGCATGGTACTGCAGTGACCATGTGATCCAGTGCAGGCAAATGCACTGCGTCTTTGCGATCTGCTTTTGGAGTGTCATTAGGAATACATTGACACCTGAAGCAGATCAGACAAGTGCGTTTTTGAATGCGGTTCTGGAAACGCACAGCGTTCTGGTGTGAATGAGCTCGAAAAACAAATAGCAAATTTATTTTGTTTTTTGTGTTGACTCATTTGTGCAAAGAAATTATAAACTTTATGTAATACATATTTACAAAATAAACAGCCGTGCTTAACCACATACCGACCGCCCTATAGCAGATATACTGCTACAGGGCGGCAGGGGGGTGTGTGTGTGTGTGTGTGTGTGTGTGTGTGTAGTGTGTGTGTGTGTGTGTGTAGTGTGTGTGTGTGTGTGTGTGTGTGTAATTTGTGTATAATTTTGTATTTCCGGGTAGGGCCCACACCGCCATTCGTGGCCCGACTCTCAATCACCGGGTCCAGGCCGGTGACTTTCCGCACGTGCGCGGTGATTACCTAGCATCTTCGACAGGGAGTAGGACTGCTTTGTTTACTGTTGGCTCGGCACACTGCTCTGGATGGCTGTGCAGAGCCATCCAGAGCAGTGTGCTTACAGGAAGCACCAACACTGCCCCCCAGTAAAAACACTCCGGATGGTTAACTTTGATGCCCTCATGTTAACCCCTTCCTGCCATGTCGTTAGTAGTGTTGGTGCTTTTTTTCCAGCATGCACTGTATTGGTGTCACTGGGGATGTCAGTGACACAAAGTCAGTACCCCCTGCCAATTGTAAGTATCTATACCGCCAATTGTAAACGCTATAACTTTCACATAAACCAATTAGTTTACATGTATTGGGATTTTTTTTTTTTTAGCAAAGACATGCAGCAGGATACATTTTGGCCTAAATTTATGACTAAATGTGATATATATATATATATAGAGAGGGAGAGGGAGAGAGGGAGGTTTTTTTTTTTATAGTGCAAAAAAATTGAAACCGCACAGACGATCAAAAAACACAGCTTAATTCATGGGGGAAAAAAAGATGTAAAAATTTCATTTGGGTGCAGCGTTGCATGGCCGCGCAATTGTCAGTTAAAGTAACGCAGCGCCCTTAAAATGGCCTGGTCAGTAAGGGGAGTAAATCCTCAGGAGGAAAAGTGGTTAAAGTTTAGTGGAATAAAACAATAGTGCAAATTGGTCCTTGCAGTGTCATTATTCATACATTAGCAATTGTAGTGATGTACTAGTCACCAATGTAGTCATTCAAAAATATGTACAAAAGTCCATAAATGACTATTCAGACCATATGCAAGTCCAAGTGTAGAAAAGACAATTAAAATGTATGTCTGTTTAAAATAAGCACAATCCCATCAAATAATGTGACAGTCCTTAATTCAAAACAAGATGATGGTCCTTTAATATCCAGTAAAGCTGTATTTCCTTTACTGTGATTTATCTCTTCTTTCCTCAAGTTCTGTGACATGTGCAAACACCCAGTGATGATATGTGCTCACCTTGTGCAATGGGCCTTAATACAGAGCAAGGTGCCCAAGTTTGCCCCACCTTGGGCATAGGTGGCATCAGCTATTCCTCTCGCTTCTTCCTCCTCTGTGGTCATTACCACTGAAACATCACATGCAAAAATAGAATGGGACACAATAGTACTCTGATTAGTAACTTATTAAAAGCTCCTAAAATCAACACTTATATTTAAAAGCACCCACATTGCTATGTATCTCAGCATGAATAACCATGGGTCATGATGATTCGTACAGCCAGTGTTCTCATACTTGCAGTGTGCCTCCAAATCCTGTACTCCATTTACACTTCTGTACCAGAGCTTCTTGTTTTTTATTCAGCTGTATTTAGTGCAACTTATAACATCCAAGTGAAAGATATAACACCAGCATATCAGAATTTTTATTTATTTCTTTTTTTAAATTCAAAAACAGAATCCCTAAGTTGGGAAAAAGGAGTATCACTCCCTACTAAAAATGACTTGTAAATTCCATCAGGTGTAGCTAATCACCTCAATGGCACACAAAGCCATTTGACTTTCAACCGTGGTCAGCTGTGATCTCTTTGATTAGCTCAGTTTGAAAATGCTTTCCTGGATTATTGCAGACCCTGGTAGTGCAACTGAAGCAAACAGTCAACTATGAATGGCAAGACAGTGTCAAAAGATCTCCGGGATAAATTTGTGGACAGGCACAAGGCTGGAGATGGATACAAAAAAATTCAAAGGCTTTTTCAATGCCTAGAAGCACAGTGAAGTCTATTAAGTGGAAGATATTTGGTACAACACAGACCCTCCCTGGATCAGGATATCGCTCCAAACTGGATGAAAGAGCCAGGAGGAAACTGGTCAGAGAGGCTACCAAAAGGCCTACAGCAACTCTGAAGCAGTTGCAGGAATTTGACAAAGAGTGGCCATTGTGTGCATGTGACAACAATATCACAAATTCTCCACAAATTTGGCTTGTATGGGAGGGTTGCAAGAAAAAAGCTGAAGATTCTGAGGCCACATGGAAAAGGTGTTATGGTCAGCTGATACTAAAATGGAATTATTTGGTCTCAAAATTAAACAATATGTCTTGACATAACTCCAATACAACTCGCCATCCAAATAACCCCACTTCTACAATGAAGCATGGAGGTGGTAATATCCTGTTTTATGGGGGTTCCTCTGCAGCAGGGACTGGAGCACTTGTCAGGATAGAAGGAAAAATGGATGGGGCAAAATACAGTCAAATTCTTGAAGAAAATCTGCTGCCCTCTGCCAGAAAGTTGTCAATAGGAAGAAGGTTTACCTTCCAACAGGACAATGAGCCAAAGCACACAGCAAAAATGACCACAAAGTGGTTGAAGGAGAAAAAGGTGAATGTCCTTCCATGGCCTAGTCAGAGCCCAGACTTAAACCTGATTGCAAATCTGTGGAATGACTTGAAGACTGCAATCCACAAGCAGTCACCATCAAATTTAACTGAACTTGAGCAGTTCTGTAAAGATCAGTGGGCAAATATTGTAAGGTCGAGATGTGCAAACGACGTAAAAACAACAGACTAAAGGCTGTAATTAAAGTGTTACTAAACCCAGGACCCTGCATTCACTATATCTGGTCTCCCACAGTACACACAACATGGAAATGCAATTATTTTAGAAAATATAAACTGCCAAATATCTTTTCTCATCAGCAGTTAGAGCTGTCTTGTGACTCCCTGTGTCCAGCAAAGCTTGTAGGAGGGTTTTCATTCTGCTCCAGGAGTATGCAGAACCCCCCTGATCTCTGTCTAAACAGTGCTGATTGGTCCTGTGCTGATCACATGCACTCACAAGAGAAAAAAAAAACCCTCTCTAGCAATACACACCAAATTGAGCATGTGCAGAGTGTCTCCACTATGTTTTATCATGAGATAAGAGGGTGACACTGGAAGGGGAGGATCAGAGAAGGCAGGATCAAACAACATTTTAAACAATGCAAAGGATTAACCCCTTAGGTTCCACAGTGAGTATAACAAGCATGCTTTACTGCATATAAAGACTGTTTTTACTGTTGTGGGTTCAGTAACACTTTTTAAAGCAAGAGGTGGTTCAACAAAATACTGACAAGGTGGTGATCCTTTTTCCAACTCTGTAATTGTTTTTGATTAAAAAAAAAAAAAAAAAAAAAGAGAGAAATTCTGACCTATTGGTGTTATATCTTTCACTTGGATGTTGCAAGTTGCACCGAATAAATACAAAAAACTGTGTCAGTCTTCATTTCAGGCTGCAAAGAAACAAAATGTGATTATTTTAAAGGGCAGTGATTTTTTTTTTTTTTTGTTCTATACCCACTGTTTTAATAGTTGTCTTTGCTAGGTGTCTGAGCCAACATGCAGAAGATTTTTACCATAGCTGGATCAGACCATCGTCTTGTGCCTGTAAGGCAATAATCACAACAAATTTGTTATAAAGTGTCAATTATTTCAGTTACATTTTCAATAGGGAACGGTCTGCTAGGCCATTGGAAAAGGTCTTTGGGACAAAGGCCTATTTAATACTGGATTTATTGGCCCACATGATGATACAAATAGATCTGTGCTAAGGCTAGGTTCACACCTATGTAGGTTGAGTTTGACCCGTTTTCTGCATTGCGTTTTGCACCTATGTTTTTTCAATGCTTTTTTTGTTGCTAGGCAGATTTAAACCACAAAACACAGCAAAAACACATTACATGCGTTTCTGCAGCATTTTCATTGAAATCTATAGAACCAAAAACGCAACTTTTTGCGTTTTTTAAAAATAAGTCCCTGACCATTTCCAAAAAAACGCACTGGGTGAAAGCACAGAGATGTGAACGTGTCCCGTAGGAAACCATGTTAAATGGACTGTAGTGCTTTTCTGCAAAACGCTGCGGAAAATTCTTGGGTATGAACCTAGGGTTAGGGATAGAGGTTTCACTAAACCCTTAGGGTTGACTTTTTTCCTAATTTGGTAGCCCTATATTGATATGCATGGCTATTTTTCACTGATTTAATTTGTAGAATCCGTGTACAGACAATTCCAAAGATGACCTATCTGACAAAGTGGACAGTAAACAGACAGAAGAGCGATATAATGGTAACCGGCTACATATTGAAGAAGAGGAGCAGACTGATGGTAAATCTCAAGAAGCAGCCGCTGATGCTCAAAGGTAATGTCTCCTATAATGTATTTTGCCATCAGTGTTACAGCAGTTTAAGTACCTAAGTTAGGTTAGCCATAAATGTAACCGTTTTTTAATTATTGATTACAATGAGATTAATGAACTGTAGTGGCACAATCATCAACTGATTCCAATTTGTATAAGTAAAAGATGTTTTTTCTGTATGCTGGGCGGTTTTGTTTAAAGGCAGATATAAAATTTTGTAGTTCACAATGTGCTGAAAAGCTGAATTTATCCTTTTTTAGGGCCCTGTCACACTGACCATTTTTGATGCACTCCTGGGGTTCAAAAAAAAAAAAAAAGGCGAAAAATGTATCTCTATAAAATCTTATGGGACATTTCACACCAGTGTGCTGCAGATGCCGTACATTTTTAAAAGTCATGCATGGTGTAAAAAGTGAACCAAAAATGCATTTCTCTCGTTTTTTTTAGAAACTGCACCAAAAACACTCCCCCCCCCATGCAGTTTTTGAGTCGCATGTTCAATTTTCACAGGTGCACGGTTAGTCAGGAGTTGAGGAAAGTAAGTGTGTGTAGGCAGGCCCTTTTTGCTCTACGCTGTAGGTTCAAGCTTAGCACAGAAACCTCAACGGCCATGAGCTGCGTGTGGATGTTAAGGCCTACCTCCCTTGTAGCTGCTCATGGTTGGCAAGAGGTTGAGGTAATCATTCTTCACTTTTGTTTTTAAATGAAAACATCATAGTGAATGCTATAAATTAAGGCTAGGTGTAGACTTTACATTTACAGCTAGCCTTAACCTACAGCATATTATATTTCCTTTTAAAATGGACTAAATTAAGTATTCTTATTCAGGACTTTTGTAGCATCAGCAGTTTGCGCAGCACTTTACAATATAAAGGGAGACCGTACAGCTACAATACAATCAAAAGAAGAGGATTAGGAGGGCTCTATTCATCAAAGCTTACAATCTAATAACCATGCATGTTAAGTCCTGTTGGGTAATGGGATAACGGGTAGGCAACTTGATTGGTGACCTTTTATATTGGGGGGGGGAAAAACATCAGTTGACTGAAAATTTCATCCATTGAACTTCATTGCTGATACCCATAAACATTATCAAATGATAAAGAAAACAAAGAAGCATAATTTATTTTATAAGTGTATCGTTACAACCAGTATAAAAGAACATACTCACAGTATAAACAGATCTGGAAAGATTGGGAAGCGATTGTGTCATGTATGGTAGTACCTTCACATCTGTTAGGAGGCTACTACTAGGTACTAAAGATTGACATAAGAAAAAGCTCATGTTTAAAAAAAAAAAAAAAAAAAATTTCCATGGCATCACTTTTTAAAGGATAAGGTCATCTTTTAAAAAAATAAATTAAATTAAATAAATGCACATCTTATTGCATGTAAAAAAAAAATAGTTTTTTTTTTTTGGGAGCCTTTAAATCAGAGTACCTATTATCAACAGCAGTTCGTGGGTGCAATATAGGGCTCTTGCAGACTCTGTGTAAGCTCACCTCGTATGGGCAGGCAGTTGCACACGGACAGAAGGCACCAGTGAATTACGTAGAGCACTCAAACACCTAGTAGTACATTGAGAAATACAAGTCGATAGCTTGTGACAGCAGGCATGGGGAGAAGATCCCTGGGGGGGGGGGGGGGAGGAGTTAGGCAAATTTTTAATTTTGCCTGACATCTGACATTCTCTTTTTTTTTAGCCATATTACATTGCAGCACAATGACTGAGGCTCATGATACAAGCCAGTTCTTCTGCCTGACAATGAGGCCGATTGTTCTGCAAGCAATGCCTTTTTATATCTAGAATCTTCATAGTAGAAAAGGCACCTCTCTGCTCATTCTTATATGTATCATAGGACCTCTTTTTAAATGACCTAAAGACTCCAGCACGTTCGCTTGCAAGTTAATTCAGTGTGTTGTGTACTGTATTCTAAAGTTATGCTGAAGTATGCTTTTTTTTTTTTCCTTCTTATTTTGCAGTACACTTCGGAAAAGGGTGCGAGACAATAGAAAAGCCAACACGGCACAAAAACTGCAGCAGATGAAGCAGAAGATGAATGAAGTGGAGCTAAAAAGAAAAAGGTGGTTATTCTGGAAACCTTTTCTCATTCCAGTTGGGTTGGCTTCAGCTCTTGTAATGGGAGTTTTTGTCTGTTGGAAAATCTATTCTCCCTGACTTTACACACATGGTGCTTGTGTGGGTGTCTTCCAACACCCCAAAAACTGCCCGGGTGCTGTGACTGGTGCAGACCTCATCCTGAGGTATGGTGTTTGCTTTCTAATGGATACAATCTGATGTCTTAAGCCATCTCAGGAGCTTTGGGGTCATCGTGTGTCCTAACAAGCTGCTACCTTTTTTTTTGTTTTGTTTTTTTTTGTATGGAAGAAAAATGGTACAATTTCCATGTGTTTTTGTTTTTACATAATTCTACCAAAATTTGTCCAGAATTTCTTTTCTGGATCGTAATAGTATCAATCTACACAGACAATAGAGGTTTTGCACATGTGTAGAGTAAAGTATGTCTGTGCTACCATCAGTAAGGTTCTGTGCTTTACTTTGCAAGGGTTGGCATAGCAAAGGTTTTGCCTTACCTACATCTAGTTTAGACTGCAGAGTTTTTTGTTTTTTTTTAAAGCATCCCGAATGTACTGTTAAACCTAATCTGTTGAACGACCAGACCTTCCTCCCAATGTACCTGCTGATGCTTCTATTTGTACATTAAAGCTGAATTCCAGGTATGATCTTAATTGCATACTTGGCAGGGACTAGTGTACCCATGCATAGCTTATACCTGATGGACTTCTGTGGAAGCTGAGTATCGCTGTAGTTGTCGGCACTGCCCTAGTAATTGCTGCAATCCTCCAAGTCCTGTGCTGAGCTGCCACCCCACCGTACACTATCCACAGGGCTGTTGCTTGCTCTGCACTCCCCATTCACAGAAGGCCTTGTATTTTCAATGGATACAAGGTATAACTTACTTGAACAAGTTGGAGTGGAGGGGTGGTGAGGTCACTATTTTGGAGGATTGTTTTCAGGGTGCTAGAGGACTGGTCAAGCCCTGGGGCAGTGTGGACTACTACAGTGATTTCCAGTTTCCACAGCGGTCTCTCAAGTACAAGATATGCTACTTACAGGGATTGGACAAAATTATGGAAACATCAGGTAAAAACAAAATCATTACTTAATAAGGTTTTGGACTGCCTTTTTGGCATCCAAGACACCTGAATTCTCCTGGGAATTGACAAATATAGGTCTTGGATGGTGGATAATGGAATCTGATACTACTCTTTACGCAAAAATTGTTTCAGTTGTTGCAGTGATGCCGGAAGCAGAAAACGAGCCTGAACCTTGTTCTCTAATAGTGACCATATAGTAGCTACATGATATTGAGGTCTGGCAGCTGCAGTGCCCAGGGGAGGTGCGAGACTTTGTCTGCATTCTCGTCAAATTATGATTAGACAACACCAGCTTTGTTAATCAGAGCATTGTCTTGGTAAATGACTGTCTGTCTTCTGGAACCATGGGGTGCCCATGGTTGGCCAAAATTTGTACATAGCCGCTGGCAGTGACTCTACCTTTCAAGGTGATGATAGGGCCTGCAGAATACGAAGATATGGCTGCCCAGACCATGATTGCACCACCACCATGCTTTCCCGTTTGCACAAGACAGCCCTGGTCATAAGCTTGGGATGGTGTTCGCCACACGTAAACATGTCTGGTGGTTAGCAACAGTCTGAAGCTTGATTCATCAGACAGTATTGGTCTTCCATTGATCAATAATCCACGATTTATAGGTGTTGCACCACTCTCCTCTTCTGAGCATTAGTATCGGGCACTGTTGGTTTGGCAATTGCACCTCGCCCATGAATGTTTTGCTTATGGATTTCCCTCTGCACAGTGGACCTCGGGGTTTGGAAAACAGATCGAGCTCTGCAGTCACTTTGCAGCAGTTGTTTTCTTATTCCGGATCACAATCCTGCACAATGTCCTTTTTGTCTCTTTCAATCAGTTGACCATGTTGACTGCGCTTGTGCTCATCAGGCGATGTTTTCCTTGAAACTGTATATGCCGTCATAACCTTTGATACTGTACCTTGCGACACCTCAAATAAATTGGCAACTTCAGTCACAGACACATTAGCTAGACGGGCACCAACAATTTGCTCTCTTTGAAACTCCATAAGCTCTGACATGACGTACTACTAACAGCACATGCAGTGAATGATGCAAGTGAGGCTTCCCATCTGTTGGACGTCTCATCGCACAGTGGAAGCAGAAGCATGTTACATCATTTCCACTTTCAACGTGAAACGTTGTCACTTTCACACCTGCATATCATGTAACGTTTCCATATTTTTGTCCAAACTCTGCATTGGTCCAAGCAGAACCAATGTAAGTATGCAATGAAGATCATACCTGGAGGTCAGACTTAAGTTTTCCCAGTAAAGTCATTGGGGTTGACAGGTAGGTAGCAGCAAGGAGAGATTACTGGAAGTACACAGTGCTGAGTCTTAACAATGGAGCATTAAAAGCGAGTATAATTTTATACACACACTAGAGACCTTCAACAGATCATTTTTACATCCTAATCTTTCTTTTTAATGGGTCGAGAATACTGGTTAGAGTGCAGCGAACAGCCAGATTTACGGTATTTGAATGAGGCTTTTGCAAATCTCCAGAACAGTTTCGCCTGTTTATGTATGTTATAGTCTTTGTATGCAACATATTTTCACATTCTCCGCTGAACAAGTAGAGTTTGCATTTTTGCAATTTATTTATTTTTAACATATCTTCTAGTGTCTGTACGTCTTTCCAGTCCTAGCTGAGTGCTGTATGTGTAAGTTTATTATAAAATATGACCAAAGCTTTCTGTTCTTGTGGGTATGCTATAGTCTGTGAAAGTTTTGAAGATAATTTGTCTCTTATGTCTTTGGTCTGTAACTTGATTCCCGTGAAATTTCTGAAGCTGTTCACTTACATAAACCAGTCTTGTTTAGATATTTA